ATCACTTTACGCTGAAACTCTGCACCAGTCTGAAACTAATCTCACTCGGTATCTCTACAGAATTCATCAGTGTAGTTCATCCTAAAGGGGAGATATGAATGTGGGTCATTATAAGTGTTCTTTTTAGTTATGTATTCTTCACTTATTTCTTATTGGTTATTCTTTCCTGTGTGGTCAAAATGAGGCCACCGAATATGATGAAAAATTATGCATTTCCCGCCTCCCATGTCAAAAAAAAAAAAGTGAGCGAAGCTTAAGGGTCCGAAAACATGCAAGGACAGTTGGTGCTTTTGATGTGTGCAAGGCCTTATTAAAAGATGATGTTTATATAAAGGAACACGTATGTTATGAGCTCACTTTACTGTAATTCTGTATTTCCTCTGCAGACACCCGTACCCAGGGTAAATTATGATGTGCAAAACATGCACGTATTTAACTTTGATATTTACAGAAGAAATTCAAGATCAGTGTCCCACTCAGGAACACAGTTACAGTGCCCCATCTGGGAATCAAAACTGCAAAATTTTGGTAACCTATATTTCTGATGCAATTTCCTACATGATGTAGTGTATATATTACAATACCACTTCTTCTGAAATCATGGTAAATTACGGGAGTAGCAAAACATGATTACAACTGTCATATGGATATAATAATGTCAAACAAATGCATCATTAGAGTTGGGAACCGAAACTCAGTTCCAAATTAGAACTGAATCCAAAATGCCAAGTACCGGGTACCCATAAAAAAAAAAAAATGAATTTCGGTTTTGCTTATCGGTTCCTAAACGCGATAACGCTTTATTATTGCAAACAAATGCTATATATCTGCAAGGATGTGCGTAGCTATCTGCCAGGACCTGTCTACGTGACTACATCGCGCATCAATGCAACAGCGTGTCCATGTTTAGCCCTTTCGCGCGTACGGTCACACCGGTGTGATTAGCCGCTTAGCGCATATGCTAAAACCAGTGCGATTAGAACACTAGATTGGAAAAATTCTACCTAATTTTAGCTTTGAGGAAACAGTGATTTAATGTTAAAAATATAGCAAATGCTAACTGAAAACTATGAGAAGCTTAATAACACTGATTAAAATATAATGAACCAAGTAACGTAACACGCGCGCTACATGGCATAAAAATAAGTTACGTACAAAGGGGTTAAATACGAACTAGCATGCATGGATAACGTCACAACAGTGTGAAAGACGGACCGCGGTAAATGGTCAAAAATGTGGCTTCACTTTAGAAAAGAAAACGACAACAAGGCAAAGTGCAATGCATGTGGGAAGCTAATTAGCTGCAAGTCAGGTTGCACATCAAATCTGACCAAACATTCAAGGCAGCACGACGTCATTCTGAAAGACTGTGCAGTGTTTGATGTCTTGCGATAAGCAAGAATAAGCAGAATCGAATCGGAATCTATAAAATTCAAATGATAGGCCTACCCGACCCTACTCATCATTAATCTCCTCATAACACCTTAGGTAACATCATCAAATATTAACATACAAAATGCATGTCTGCTTTTTCTATTTTTAGCAGGTATGAAGTATTTAATTGTGATGTTATTGTGTTTAGTGCAGATAAACCGTATTGTCATTGTGTGTAATTTTTTGTTTATTGTGTGGAGTTTGGCATCATTTAACTTAAACACAATCAGTACAGCATGAGTCAGTGCTACTTAAATGGTTATATTAAAAACATGTAGTGCTGATGGTCAACACCCACCTCTCTTAACAATCAGTTGAACTTCAGTGTAGATATCAGTTTCCCATTTTACAGTTTTTATTCCACACCAGTATGTCCCAGTATCCTCCAGGGTCAGTCCAGTGATGGTCACAGTGAAGACCCCTGCTGTTCTGTTGTCATACAGAGAAAACCTCCCTTTTTGTGCCCTAATCCGGCCTTCTTCAGTTTTAATTTGGATGTTTTTATCTGGCCACTCACATTTCCCTCTGCAGAGATATTTTGAATTCCGTTGATATTCCTTTGAATATGAAGATGAGCATTTCCTCCTTCATACCCTGTCGCTGTGATGACCTCTACTGACACCTCAAACCTCACAGCTGTCAGAAAAAAAAACACAAAGAACATATACTGTGAAATTTAATAATAATTAATTTAAAAAACAGTTAAAGTGAAAATACCAGACATACAAAGAGGATGGTGTTCACATTTCACAATCACACTGAATGATAGAGATAACACAGCTCGTAATGAGAGCCACTGACACTGTGGGGTGTAAAACTGATAAAAATATTAGTACAGCATGATAATACAGTTGAAGTGAATCAGTGTTCAGTGTGGCAGAGCTCAGCAAAACAGCAGTAAGTTAAATGTGTTCAATGTCATATTTAAGCAATACAATGCTGACAGTAACGGTGTTTATTAATGCAGTATGGGGTGGAATGTATTGAGTGCAGTTTCAGTGTTCAGAAATACAGCGTTGAGTGTCATTCTGCTGAGAGCACTAATGTTCAGTAACACAGGGTTGAAGGTTACTCTTGTTCAGTAATGTAGTGTTGAGTGTATTTTTGGTCAGTATCAATGCTGACTGAAACATGACTCAGTCAGACAGAACCCACCTGTTAGATAGAAGGTGACAATACGGAGGTTCCTCATGCTGAGCTCTGACTCCCAGTTACTCCCAGTCATTCCTAGTACCTGCAGTCCTTTCCCTTACAGAGTGTCTCTCCTTCTCTTTCTCTCTCTTTGTCTCAGTTTGTTCTCCTCCTCCTCTGTTCAGTTCAGTCTTTACATCAGTCTGCAGCTCAGAGTGTCAGCAGCTCTGTGTGGAGAGACATGGCCCCGCCCTCTTCCTCTTCCTCCTCTCCCTCTCCCAGCTCCCTCCCTCCTCTCTGTCTCTGCTCTCCCTCACTCACATACACACTGCGCCCCCTGCTGGTCCTTACAGTGCACTGTCTCTTGACAGTCAGTCTATTTGTGTGTATGTTCGTATACATCTGCGTTTGCATGTGTGTGCGTACATGTGTGCGTGCGTGTGTTTTCACGCACTACAAGTTAAGAGAGTGCTGTCAAGAGTTACTCAAAGGAATGCATGCAGAGGCACTGGCACTGTTGGAGAAAAGGAAATTTGTAGAAATTGGCAACAATGGCAGTTTGCAGAGCACTAATGCTGAGAAGGGCTGTGAAGTCCACACAACCAATGGCATCATCTCTCAGCCTGCTGTGAAAATGTTTCTCTGCTCTATGGTTAAAGCAGATGGCAATATAAAAATATACTGCTGTACTGTAATGGTATGCAAACAGCAAAGGGAAGTGGTAAAGAGGCACAGGAGTCTGTATAAGACATACAGCTTGAGCTCACTCACAGAATTGAATTGGTATACAACAGTCAGGTGCATTATGGGTATTGTGATTCTGTACTTTAATATCTCCAAATACTTTTGATCTCCTAGATTGTTCTTACTCTACATTCAGGTCCACATAAACAGTCACTGAATTCCACATGTAAAAACCCAATCATATGTAAAATTAATTGTAAGAGTTCAGTGCTTTTAAATCAGTCACTCACTTTTGAACCAAGAGAGCACAGAGAGACAGTGTTTATTAACAGATAAGTGCATCCCCACCAAACTGACATTGGAGTGCGATGAAGTACAGGCCAAGCCAATATGACAGTGGAGTAGAGTAGATGTAGGAGGTCTTCAAACAAAATGAAAGTTGAGCAGAGGCAGAGTAATATTCTGGGAGTTAGTAGTCTGTGGGCAAGTTTACAGTGGAGTAGGTGGCAGAGTCCTCTGTTGGGCATTTGGGTAAACTGACATTGGAGTAGATATCTCAGTTAGGAGGGTCTCTGTGGAAGCTCACAGTGGAGTATTCAGTGGAGTCTTTAGTGAGGGTGATGGCTGACTGATCCTCAGAGTCTGGGCTTTTGGGGAAGTTGACGGTGGCGTAGTTTAGGGGGTCAGGGGGATCTCTGTGTGAGCTGGCTGTGTAGTGGATGGAAGTGACTGCAGGGTCTGCATGTGGTTGTTGGTTTGAATCCTTGATTTCCTCATATTCCCAGTCAGCAGCCTGAAGATACAAAACAAAAATTGTTTGACCCAATATCCCCTCAGTCTAAAAACTAAATTCTAAAAGATTTCAATCAACATTTTTTTTGCTCCTCTCTAATTCAATCACATGGAAATTGGAAATTACAGCTCACCGCTTCGGTGTTGATCCTGTTGATCCTGTTGGAGGAAGAGGGGGCCACTGTGGAGTATACATTTAATTTCAGCCACAACATTTATAAATTTACACTTATACACACCTTCAAAATGGACACATGTTAACTTAGTAAAACTATCATTTTTATACTTATTTCTTTCTTTTACAGACATTTTACAAGTTGGTATCAGCATTATCCAGCTGTATAATATCATGCCTGTGTGTTATTTCACAATAATGCACATTTTGGGTCTTCTAGCTGTATTCAGTTTATCCATAAAAAAACATTAATGATCTGAAGCAACACAAAACGAGTAGTGAATGCCAATCTGGTGTCTTCAAGTATTTAAACAAGCATTTCCATTTCCACTCATGCTCAACAGAGGGAGTACTGTTCCATAGAAAGTTCCTCTGTATGGTCTCAGTTGGGAGATCTAGATACTGTATGTGAAAGTTTGCTAATGTGAATGAGGAACATAGTTTTCACTGTGGTGTGTGTGTGTGTGTGTGTGTGTGTGTGTGTGTGTGTGTGTGTGTGTGTGTGTGCATGACTGTGTGTGTGCATGTATGTGTGTGTGTTTGCATGACTCTCACCTGGTGATTTCCTGGCTTTCTTCTTCTGTCTTAGGAATATAAACAGGCCCACTCCAAGCACTGACACAGTGGCACCCAGACCCAGACTGACATGTAGCAGTTGGTCTGGGAGGCAGAGGGAGTAAAGTGTTAGCTCTGAAACATGCTGAGATTAAACTGGGTCCTCCTGCATGATCACAAAGGGTTAATTACATAGAGGGTTAAATATCTGAGCCTCGTTTGCATCAGCTGCAGTGTAGCACAGTGGTACGGAGCAGGACTCATAATCCTGCTGGTTGCTGGTTTGATTCCCTGCTGGGGCACTGCTGCTGTACCCTTGGATAAGGTACTTAACCCACAATTGCCTCAGTAAATATCCAGCTGTATAATATGTAATATGTAAAATTGTAGCCTATGTGATTTACTCTGTGTAACAGTGTTGGCTAAACAACGCTATGTCACTCTGGATAAGAGCATCTGCTAAATGACATTAATGTGATGTAATGTAAAGTGTACTGACAGCATATTCAGATCATAAGCATCACACCATCAGGTCATTCACACCATATGTTTCTGTGGGGACTAGATTCACACTACTGGCTGTGAAAGGGTGTCTGGTCAGGGACAGACAGGTTTAAGAATCAGTGCTGCACTTTGTCTGTCCTTAAAGATTTTGGCACAGTTTAAACAGGCTTTTGGGCTGCAGCCCTTTGATGGTTTTCTGCGCTCACTAATAATCTGTTCTCTCTTCAACCATCACCAAAGGGGTCAGCATTTCATCTTTGGTGTAATAATGAAATTTAATAATGAAATTGTGGCTTATTTTACTTGGAGTATCGCATTTTTAATGGATAATGTGATCTAGTGTGATATATAGATACTGTGTGATATATAGTAGTGTATGTGCTTGAGTTCCCCTAGTTTTCTAGGCTGTTTCCTAACTTTCAGGTTAGCACAAGTTAACTTGTGTTAGAGCTCGAATGGTGTTGTTCTCACATTCACTAGTCTGGGAGTTTTATTGGTCTGATCTGACACTAATGCTCATTTAACTTGGATGGACACACTTCTGTTCTCTTGTGCTGGAAGTCGCTCTGGATAAGAGTGTCTCCTAAATGAATGTAATGCATTGAATTCACTCTACACCACTGACACTCATGTAAACTATGAAGCTCTACAGTTGAACTGCAAACTACCTGATTTTCACTTTATGTGTTACTTACAGGAAGGGACTTTACTGAACAGAAATCATTATCACTTCACTTCACTGTAGACTGTACATTAAGCTCCGCCCCTTGTTCTGCAGCCATTTATTCCCTTTAGAGAATGTCACATGACCCACACCTCAATGCTCATTGGTTACAGTTTTTCTCTTAGACACCATTTGGTCAACCCGACATGTTTGACTTTTTTTTTTTCATGAGAACCTTAAACAGCTACTGGAGAAACAGCAACCAAGTCATGAGGAAGAGACCAAACCATAAAACCTCACTTTCTACCACATCCTTCCGCCTTTCCTCCAAAAAAATATGATGTTTCTGAGTGTGAGAATGCAGCACTTACTCTGACCCCTCAGCTCACACAGCCTCTATGTTAATATTAAGCTCTTATTTTCACTGCGTTTCCATGTTGTTCAGGATGAATGAAACTTTTTAAATAATATTATCATTCGTCCTGTTGAACAGTATGTAAAATTGTCATGTTGCGGGGTGAAATAGAAAACCCGGAGGTGAATGGCAAAGTGAAAAAATGATCCTGGAGCCCCAAAACAGGAGCAGACACAGATTGGGTAAGAGAGGAGGCAGGGTCAAATTGGACATTTAGCCTGTGGTCTCAGACACTGTAAAGAGCATTAGTGGTGTGACACTTACCGGAGTCAGGCAGGCATCTGGGCACCCAAAACAGAGCGGCAGGCTTCCTCCGGATCCGAGAGGCCAGGCAGGGGTCAGAAACTGGGCAGGCAGGTCCGGAGCAGGGCAGACGAGAAGCAGAGTGAGGAGGAGGAGCAGAAGTGGGAGTCCGGGTGAGGAGGGAGCTGAGCAGAGAAGAGACTGGCAACCCAGGCAGCCGGCCAGCAGAGTGTTAAAAGGCTGACACATAGAAGAGAGTGTGGCAGGAAGCAGGGTTAGAAATGAAAAGAAATTAGAAATGTGTCTACAGGGAGTCTGCATAAAACCCCAGGCGGACAGACTAGACACAAACAGGGATACACAAAGACAGGACCAGAAAACAGAACTTCCTCTGAGCTCATGACAAAACAGCGGGAAACATTCAATCAGCTAAGATGCAGACAATGTTAAGTTTTTGTATTTATTGTGACTTTTCATTTGTTATTATGGCAAGTAATCCAGCAACAGGTACAGAGACAGCCCTGGCAACAAGACAGAGAAAAGCAGGTTTTCCTCTCTATAGGGTAGGGCTGTTGAGGTGATGGGAAGCACCTTTAATCAGATGTGGGGGCATGGGGGGTGGAGACATTTGAGGAAGACAGGTTTGGGGGAGAAAGACAGGCGAGAGAGTGGGGCAGGGAGGGAGGGAACACAAGAAAAGTTACAAAAGCTGAGATGGACAGGGGAAGAACACAAAACACAGCCAGGGGGCAGCCCTAAATGCAAAAATATGTATATGTTCCCAGTGTACTAGAAATATTCTTTTTTTTCTTTGCAAAACTTAAAATGATCCTGAGGAGCAAACCCCCAGCCCCTCACAGATTGTTCTAATAGATGAGGAGGCCCCTGATTGGACATTTAGCCTGTGGTCTCAGACACTGTAAAGCAGCATTAGTGCTGTGACACTTACCGGAGTCAGAGGAGGATCTGGTACCTGATTGTGTCTGAGCAGCATCTTCCTCCGGAGGAAGAGGAGCTGCAGTGCTGTCAGAGTGAGGAAGAGGAGCTGCAGTGCTCTCAGAGTGAGGAGGAGGAGCTGCAGTGCTGTCCGGGTGAGGAAGAGGAGCTGAGCAGAGAAGAGAGAGATGCTCTGATGAGAATAAGCCACAGAGTGTTAAAAGAGGAAGACACATAGAAGAGAGTGTGGTACAGGACTTAGAATTAGAAATGAAAATTAATTAGAAATGTGTCTACAGATGGTCTGCATAAAACCCCATTTCCTGACTGCTGAGACACTTCTCCTTTCCCTTCTCCTTTCCCAGAGTGCAGAACTTCCTCTGAGCTCATATAATATTCCTGCTTTCTTTTAGCATTCATATCAGCTAAGATGCACTGTCAATGTTAAGTTTTTGTATTTATTGTGACTTTTCATTTGTTATTATGGCATTGTAATCCAGCAACAGGTCCAGACCCAGCCCTTATCATCATTAAAACTACATGTTGCTGTTTTCCTCTCTGTAGCAGGTAGGGGTGTTCGAGGGTACAGGGGGTCAGAGACATCACCTTTAATCAGATGTGGGGGTGATGTGGGGGGTGGAGACATTTGAGGAAGACAGAGAGTTTGGGGAAAAGGGGGAGAAAGACAGAGAGAGAGAGAGAGAGAGAGAGAGAGGGTGAAACAGCTAGAGAGAGTTAGGGCCATGCTGAGATGTGACCTTAGCAGCAGTACACTAAATACAGTCTTATTGCAGCCCCTAAATGCAATCATACTGCATCTAGAGCCCAGTGTACTTTTCTGTGGAAATATTCATTTTCTTGAGGCTTTTAAGAACACAACGTTGCACTTGGAATGACGTTATTAAACAATTCACTCTAACGTACCACACTCGCTGGTAGCCAGATGGTGCGCTACTATCATATGCACTCTGTGATAAAATGGCTTTGATCTACCGGAAAATGGCTTTATTATTTGCTTACAAGAAATAGAGTCTATTTTACAGGAAAATCTCAATTCCTTTGTGACCCTTTGAGAAAACCTTTGATTCACATACAGTAAAATATCAACTACTGTGTAAATATTGAAGAAAGGTTTGCTACAGTTTTGAAGAGTTACTCCAAAGGCCATTGAAAATTGGAGGCATATGAATTTATATATTGCATATGTTAACATATTGTTGCTCTTAGGATGGGTTTTGTCTTGCTATTGTAAATTAGACTTGGGAGCTGAAGAGCTGAAATGTGTTTTGGTATTTTATTCGATGCAGGTAGAAATACAACATTCAGACTCTTACCTTTCTCTACTTTCAGCAGTACCTCAGTGTATGTCAGAGTAAACTGAGCTATGTAGTCCACACCAGTATTTCCCAGCATCCCTCTGTGTCAGTTTGCTGACAAAAACAGTGCTGTCATTCAGAAGAATCTCCTGTCAGTGCCCCGGCCCCCTAGCTCCTTCCTGTCCATGTGCTGTTTTCATTGTGTTCTGAGCCCTGCCCCTGTCCCCGAATCCCTGCCTGCCTCAGTGCATCGCGCCACCTGCCTGCCAGCTCACCTGCCCATCACCTTGTCTGCTCTGCCCTTTGTTGTTCCTGTCCGTTGTCCATGTTTTTTTTTTTTTTTTATTTTTACCTCTGTTTGTTTCCTCGTTCTTTGCATCTCAATCTCGCCTGTGCCCTGACCTGGTTTTCCTGCCTGCCGTTTTTTCTCTGTTTGCCTGTGCGCCTGTCTGCCCGTTCCTGACTTATCTTCTGCCCGACTTCGCCCCCGGAATTGCCTGCCTGCCAGCCTGACTCTGCCTGTCCCTGACCGCCCCGGATTTGCCCATCACCCTTGTCTGCCTGTTCCTGGCTCACGATCTCTGCCTGCCATATTGAATAAAGACGCCTGCCTGTTCCTGCTCTGGGTCCCTAGTGTCCTAACATCTCCCTTGTTTCACCCGACTGTTTTTTTTTTGATTTTTTCACAGCTTTCCTTGACATCTTTGCAGAAATATTTATTACTGTGTTCATGACTCTGTGAATAACCACACTTGATGCTGATGTCTTGTCCCTCATATCCAGTGATGGAGTTCTCACAACATGAAGCTGTCAGCCACACAAGAGAGATATATTAACCATAAATGCAATCACTGTGCCAGCCTGAAACCACTGTATTCTCCCTTGTCCACTGGGATTTTAAAGAATTAAATGATGAAGGTCATTCTCAAAGAGACACGCATTGCATTCATATGTATCAACAATGTTCCTCCAAAAGAAATGGTGTTTTTCAACAGCATATAATTTTTTTGTTGAATCACAAAATGTTATTTAACTAAAGAAATTAATGACAAAATTGATTAAAGCACCACAGATCCAAAGCTGATTATCTAACATAAGTAACTTTTCTTGTTGTTTTTAAATGCTGTTTTGGCCTTAATGCAAACCCATTTTGGAATCACCGATTTTACATTAGACCTGTATCTCCATAATTACCTCCACTGTCATGCAGGAGCAGTGAAGTTAG